TAATGAGTGGCTGCTTGGGGTGATTAGTTTGTTCATTGTGTGAACTGTTCCCACCTCCTGGGCACATCATCCTGGGGCCAGAGAGAACTGCTCCTGTCTGTGCTCCTGCACTCTGAAGATGCCGGTCACAGGTACTGGCGAAACGTTAGGAAACAGAACTTCAAGAACACGGCCACACAGCCCGGAAGACCCACACCAGCCAACTATTTCATCTACACTTGGTGCTATTCTATTTGACACTTGGTTTAGTGCCTCTTGTCCCTCCCTTTCTAGGGAAGTCAGTTCCTGAATATATTCCCCTGAAATAAATGTTTCTCATTCTACAGTCTTATTTGTAAAAGATTTGAGTATTATTTTTCCATCTTCCATCTTCTAATGGTTATCTTCCATTAACCTCATTTGCTTCTATTCAATTTCTTCCATGTTTATTCCTAAGAAGCCCTAATTTGGTTGAAACTTCTCCCATGATTTTTGTGATCTTCATAAAGATATCTGCATTTTCTTATCATTTGCTGTTTTTTGACGTTATTGAACTATCTCATCCTTTTCTGCTTGATGTTGAAAGTCTGTGCTGAGTCATCATAAGGCTTTCCCATTGCCAGAGGCTTTGGCCTTCATCCTTTGTCTTTTCTCAGCTATCGTGATGCTTGATCTACAAGTCACTTGAATCATCTCTTCCTTGAAATGTTTGATTTTTACTAGGTCTCTTATCTCTTCTCATGTCTCTTTAGGTTCTCTTTCACGTACGTGTACTGCATCTATTCCCTAACTGAGCTTAAATTCTGAATGTATTCCTCCTGGTCAAACTTTACTTAACTTTAACTTCTAAAGTTTAACCTGTATATTTGACACCAATGATTCATGATCTGTTCCACAATCTTCACCTGGAAGTGTCCTGGCTGAACAAATTATACTTTTTTCATCTTCTGTTTCCTATTATGAAGGAGATTTTATTCTGATGTTGTACATTCAGTGATGTCCATTTGTAGAGTCTTTGCTTACGTTGCCATATGAATACACTTTATGCATATGTTGTCTTAAAAATAATTCTTTTTGCAAAACTTTGTTAACCTGTATTATCCAAATCTTCCTGCAATCCAATCACTCATAGTACTATGTACTACAGTGTCCTGTAGTTGTTGTATTTAGCACCTCTTGCAATTTACCATGGAATTCCTCAGTATGTTTCACCATTGGACCTATAGTAGGTTTATACATTTGTATAATATTGATGTTCACTGGATATCGACTAATTCTAGCCTATCATCTGTTATAGCGGAGCTGAATTGGCTCAGATTGAGAAAATGTGAGTGGCATGCTAAAGTCATAGTGTGATCTCCTGGCTTATACTATATGGTATTTTTAATTATTCTGATAGTGCTGTCAAAAGATAAGCTGAAATAAAGAAGAAAACATTGTTTTAGGAAGTCTCTTCCCATTAAATTCAGACCTACATAAAGACAAGAATAGTGATAGGACTTGTTCTCTTTTTATGAGTACCATGTAAGATGGAGAGTGACAGACTTGGTGAAATGTAAGTTTACACATGAGGAGTCAAGGTATAAAGAAATGTCCCCATTTTCATCTGCTTGCCTCATAAGCTAATCCACCCCTTTTTTCCCTAGCCAGAGGCAGTTCTTATGTGATTGTCATTGCTTAGAATACCAGATAAAATATAGTACATTGGTTTACTATTACAAATATTGAATGCCAAAAGTCTAACTACAGCAGGATGTGGCTGTGATTACATAAGGAAAATTTTAAATGAGGACAGTTGTCAGTTCTTTTGTATGTAAGTGGTCCACTTTTAGTTTTAGGTGAACATAGTTTATTCTCTAGCAAAGACAAACCAAAACAAATCTCTGTGTGTTCACTTAAGGCATAGGCCAGAATTCTATAACTGAAAGGGGAATCTGTCTCCTCCTCTATCTTTCTGCAGTAAATGTCATTCTTTCCATGATCTAAAACACAGTGCAGCGTGAGCTATCAGGAGTTGTTCTTGATTGTGGCAGCATACAAATATATTTAATAAATAAATAAAATCATCTTACTATTGATCCAGAGACTGAAGATTTAGAATTACTCTAATATTTTGCACAAGAGTATTTATTGATGCAAAAAAGGCCCCTAAAATTAGGAATTGAAAAGAATCCTCCTAACTTGGCTTCAGCTTTGCAAACTTGTCCTGATAAAAAAAACAGCATTTACTCTTATTTCCTATGATGGATTTTCTCCACACTCCCAATGCTAAGGAACCAGAGAAGTGTATTTTCACCTTCACCCGCTCAATACCCATTTTTGATTGTAAGTGCTAATTGTTAGGTCCTTTGGCACGCAAGGCTGTGTAGAATAAAGAAAAGGCTAAGACACACTTGAGTTGAGCTCAGCTCATGTTAATCACACGACACATTCATGAAGTGTCTTAAGTGTACAGTTAGTCCTTTAGTTACAACGGCAATTGGGACTGGAATTTCCATCACTTAAGTGATGCAGTTGAAAAGCATGATGTCACATGACCGCATTGCTTAGCAGAGGCAATCCCAGCACTCCCCATTACCATTGTTAAGTTGTCATTAAGCAAGGATTGTGGGTCATTAAGCAAGCACCTCCTTGCAACTTCTTGCCAGCTTCCACCAACCAGTCAGGTGGAAGCCGCAGGAAGTCAGTCAGTGGGGAAGCTGGCAGGAAGTTGTAAGTTCCAGATGGCTTGCAAGCAGGCTGGCAGGCAGGTAACTGGCTGCTGCTGGGTGGGAGAGGGAGCAGGAGGGTGCGCGGGTGGCCAGGGAGGCATGGCACAAGCATGGCTGCTGCCAGGTTGGAGAAGGTGTGAGTGGTTGGGGAGGCTCAGCGCAAGCTCAGGGAGGCTCAGGGAGAGTGTGTGAGGGTGACAGGTGGTGGAGAGGCATGAGCTCAAAGGGGCTTGTAGTGGCTCTTGCTGGGTGGGGGACAGCGTGTGAGTGGCCAGGGAAGCTCAGGCAGGGTCTGTGTGGGTGGCAGGGAGGTGTGGTGCGAGCACAGCAGGGCTTGGGGTGGCTGCTGCTGGGTGAGAGAGGGTCTGCGGGTGGCCAGAGAGGCATGGCATGAGCACAAAGAGGCTCAAGGGGGTGCATGAGGGTGTGTGAGGGCCAGCAAGGTGCAACGCCAGCACAGAGGGGCTGGGGGAGGATGCACAGGTGGGGGAGACTTACCCAAGCAACTTGTGACCTTCCCTGCTTATTCCCCATTGACTTTGCTTGAGGGAAGCCAGCAGGGAAGGTTGCAAATGGCAATTGTGACCGTGGGACGCTGCAACCATCATAAGTGCAAACCGGTTGGGAAACACCCAGATCGCAATTATGTAACCACTGGGGTGCTGGGAAGGCTGGGACTTCAAGTGATCTTAAGTATCACTCATTCAGCGCCATCATAACTTTGAATGGTCACTGAATGAGTGGTGCTTAACTTTGGACTACCTGTAGTATGAATGAGGTTTACTGTAGCCTTCTAATCTAGTCCATAACCTAGGAATTCCCTGGTGGTAACCAGATCTGACCCTGTTTTTAGTTTCTGGGTCCAGACAAGATTGGCTAAGTGCTGTCTCCTTCTAGGAGGGCTAGGGTAGCTTAATATTGTTCTTTATCCTGTTTTAGATCATATTGGAACTTGAGGCTTTTCAGAAATTTCTCTTTTCTGAGAAATGTAATAAGTTTCTCCTTATGGAGGACTGTCTTTAACCTTTGTGCCAATGACTATAGGTAGCAGCTTATACAAATAGAAAGAGGTCCTGTTGCCAGTTCAAGGCTTTGAATCCTCCAATTTTTTTTTCTAAGGCATTTTTATCCAGTGTTTTGATACTTTATTTCAAGATTTTGAACCATATTTGTTACATAGACTTTTTTATTTGTTCTGAACATAGCCTGCTTGTTTATTTGTATATATCTTTGGTTAGAATGGATGAGAAAGAGATAGAAGGGAATCAGGTATTTACTAAAATACTGAAACAATTGACTCTTTCTTTAGCTACTGTACCCAAGTGCTTAGTAAAGAGGTTGACAGCTGCGTTACAGATCTCTTGAAAGAGCTGGTTCGTTTCCAAGACCGCCTGTATCAGAAAGACCCTGTCAAGGCCAAGACAAAACGCAGGCTCGTTATGGGACTCAGAGAAGTGTTGAAACACTTGAAGCTGAAAAAGTTGAAATGTGTCATCATTTCTCCAAATTGTGAAAAAATTCAATCAAAAGGTGAGCTTTTACATTAAAAATGTGTTTACCTAAAACAAACAGATCACTTTTATGATGGAGTATGGTGGGAGATTGGGAGATGCCTCAGGACTTACTTTCTATTCATATAAATGAAATGAGATACTTTGTCAGCAAATTTGTTTTAATGGCTCATTCTCTTAATTTGGTTTTTATTTTATCACAGGTGGGTTGGATGAGACTCTGCATCTCATAATCGATTCTGCTTGTGAACAGAATATTCCATTTGTTTTTGCTCTCAATCGCAAAGCTCTAGGGCACTGTGTGAACAAATTAGTGCCTGTCAGTGTGGTGGGAATATTCAGCTATGATGGTGCTCAGGTGAGTTGTGCTCTAGCTACTGTTTGCCCTCTTCTGTTAATATGGATTTGAATTTCAGTTTTAAAAAGTCTTAATTATTAGTATTATGACAGCTACTGCCAGCATTTTAAAAGATGCTAATCCCTAGTTGTCTGGAATTCTTCTACACTCTTAGGTAACTTGGGTGCTGTTCTAGTATTAAAGCAATGCAGAATGGTTCATGATTAGTTCTAGTAACCCTGTTGCTCCCATAGATTTCTCATTTTTGTGCAGTTACCTGTATGTTCAGTGCAGGGGTCTGCAATAGGAAAGTTTTTGCACTCGTGGCTACAGGCAAGTTGGCTTTCATTGAGTCAAGATCCTGCACTGAGTGCATGAATCGCTTAGGAGGCAGGCATCATTTGAGTGAGAAGGTGGTTTTACCTCAAGTGTGTATATGTCAAAGACTCCTATTATAATAATTCTTGAGTAACATGAAAAAATTATGCTTATGTTTGAAACTTCAGCAAGTTACTTTCTCTGCTTTCCTGCACACTCCTACACAAACATCTCTTTGGCTGTAGCAGAGTATTATTTCTAAGTTGTTCGAAGAAAGGAATCAGTGGACTTTCCCCATGCCCAAGTTACTCCATATAATTCAGAACACAGTATATTGCAAGTGTAAACAAGATGTACTGTGTAAAATTTCTTTAAAAACGGATAACTGATTGATCCAAGGCCCCTTACAAGAGAAAATACCCATATTTCCCAGCTGCCCCCAATTCCCCAAAGACAGAAGAAAACCCTGATTTTCAGTTTAATTTTAGTATCATCTTCCCAGCATTCACATGTTCAAATGCCTACTTAATTTGTGCATCTTTGGTGAGGCTAAATTATCAAGTAACCTAGGTAAATCATCTCAAGGGCTATGCTAACTGTGTTCCTATCATGCATCTTTTTTTTTTTTGCAGTATCCAACAATGGTTGCAGCTGTTGGTTTATTAGCATCAGTCTGTTCCCTTATATTAATGCAGCATCTAGGACTGTTTGTCCAAATGGCAAAGTCTGTTGCCGTCTAGTTTAATCTTAGATTCCTAGATGAGCAACATATTAAAACCATGAGTATGGAAACCATGAGTATGGAAACCATGAGTACATATGCCCTATGTTCTTATAAATAAGACCCTGTATGTAAATACTTGAGCATGAAACTGAGCAAACTCAGGGAGGCAGGAAGGCCTGGCGCGATATGGTTCATGAGGTCACGAAGAGTCGGACACGGCTTAATGACTGAACAACAACAAAAATGTAAATACTATGTATGTTACTGATGAATCAAGAAGCTTCATGGCTTCAAAATTCCCAAGATGGACTTTCCCTGAAACAAGACAAGCAAACTGGTCTTATCTGTGCAGTTTTAATTGTAGCAGGCCCAGTTCATGTAAATAGTGTTTGTTTTCACATGCAGTTAGGATCTTCACCACAGAGACATGCAGAGACACTATAATATGAACTTTTACATAGGTATCATCACTACCATTTTTTATACAACAGTTTTTTGGTTTCAATGTGTTGTGCTTGCAGATTCCGACTGCTGGTGGATTTTATTTAGAGCTACCAGATATTCTCTATTGCAAAATTTTCAGTAGCCAGTTCAGGCTCCTTGATTTTCTGTGGGTTTTATTATTTTATTAAATGCTATTTTCCAGGGTCATTTTCTTAGTGTTTGGTGCTTTAGCCTTTTTTTTTAAACTTACCTTGATTTCCACATGCCACAGTACTTGGGAATATATGACTATTTGATATTGTTGAACTATATAATCTCTGAACATTAGCTGTGCTGTTTTTGGATAATCAAAGTTATATTTTAGTGAGAAAGTCCTAAAATTAATGCTAATTCAAAATACATTTCTTTTCCCCATTCTTATAAATTAGGACTATTTTCACAAAATGGTGGAATTGACAATGGAAGCAAGGCTGGCCTACAAGGAGATGATTTCAGCTTTAGAAAGGGAGTCAAGTGAAGAAGTAAAACAAAGTGACTGTGTGCTCCAAACCCATCAGAAAGAGAATTGTGCACTAGATACCACAATAGTGCCCCTTCAAGAGCCTGAAGACGATGTCCCAAATTACAGTGAGTTTTCAGGGTCTTTGTTTAAAATATGGAAATTCTTTTCTGTTCATCTGTGTATTTTCATATTTAAGGTAAGCTGCATTTATGATGGTAGAGATACCACAATTCAGTGATTACAGAATGCTCCAGAGAATGTTCTGTTCCCCCACTACAACCATGCCATTCTTAGGGTAGTTCAATTTCCAAAAGTAAATTTCTTAAACTAGAAGCAGTGTCCCAGACATTGAGTTCCAAACTAAGATCCAGACTGTTCCAGAGGGGGAACAGAAAATTCTGGAATATTCTTCAGTTGCCAGATGTTGCACATTACTCTGTTGTAGCTGAATATGTCATTTCATTCTTCAAATCCTGATGATGCTAGTCTTGGTTTGCTAATCCTTGCTGCAGTTTGCGCTTCAGTCTTTAGAGTGATGTGAGTGACTGCCTTGAACCAGTCTTGTCTTCAGGCCTCTGTAGCAGAATAACTAAAGTAGTGCAATACCCAAACATAAATACTAAAAATACACAGAACAGATACTGCCTCTTTAGCAGAAGCCAAATGAGATAAGCAAAACCACCATTACTATGTTGATCTCATTTGTGGTAGAATATGTATTTGAAGTTAGTAAACATTCTCAGAGCTGTAGAGTTTCTGTGTTATTTTTGGTGCCAATTATAAGATGAGTTTGAATCATTGCTCTAGGATTCTTGTACCACCATGTACTTGTATTATTTCTTCACTTCTGGTAGCAGTGATTCTTCTGATGCAGGCTGCATTGTGCTGTGCTGATCAAGAGATCCATTAAAATGTGGATAGGACAGACTAGCAACTATCATTTTATAGGATGAATTATGTGTTGCTCTTCACTTCCTTCAACAGTTCTTGTGCCTAAAGTACTGAGCTATTCTACTAATGTGTGAATGCTGGCAAAAAGTATTTTCTAGTTTTGATTCTCTTCCATATTATAAAATTAATATTGGAGCCATCAGCAGCTTTTGATGATATTTGTGTGATATTCTCTTCTACTTTAGCTGATTAAGTCAAGTCTTCTTTGTGTCAAGTTCAACTTTTGATGATTTTATGGAAGTATTAATGTAGTTTTCATGGCAACAATATGGAAGTGGTTTGTGATTTGTTTCTTGTCTTCCCATTCTAGTCCAGGTGATCTTATTCAGACAAACTGATCCAACCCTGCTTAGGTTTTTGAGAACATCCAAGGTGGGCTAAATGCTGCCACCCATTTGGGCACTTTATCTGATAAATTCTCTCAAATGGTCTATTCATTAGAGTTTTATTCAGAACATGGATGGCCTGCTAGCTTTCTTACATAGATTTTAAAGTGATAAATAAAAATATTAATGATTTTAGCCGAACTGTTATCTAGCATTAAGTTGATCCATGTTCTTAATAAATGAAAACTCTTTCCTTTCCTTAAAAAAAAATAGCCATGTTATAATGGATATTATCTATAGTTTCCTTCATTAGTTATCATTGTGTTCATGAATGATTATGTGTATTTTGTGATCCCAGGACTTGATACAAGAGTTGCAAGATTTGAGTGGGAAATGGGTAACTATTTTTCCAACTTAGCATTCTCACAGGTGTAGTAAAACTATATTGCATTCCTATCTTTTATGTTATGGCCTTTGTAAGAACTGTAGTCTATAACTATTATTATATATATTTGTCTTTTTTGTTTTGTTTTGGTTTTTTTGCACCTCTAGTTAAGATCTGGAAGCGAAAGCTTGAAGAGGAGTATAATCCCTACATCCTGAAGCTGGAAAAACAGTCAACCACTGACATGTTGCCCTTGGGTGTTGAGGAGCCTCAGTAAATCAACACTACCTTCTTTGGCATTATTGACTTTTTTTACTTTATGTGTGTGTGTCTGTGTGTATATAGAGATATAGATATGTAAATAGTAAATTATCTAAATTAATTATCTGGAATAGAGGATATATAACCTGTAGCTGAAATTCTGAGATAATTTAATGCCAAAGAATTCAGAGTTGTAAACAACTTCCATTCTAGACTGGATTCAGTGAAAGTGCTTGACACATCCAAATGGAATACAGAATGAGACAGGAAATGAATCTGGTTTGTTTGTATTTTCATACAGCAATAGGGAAATCACCTTTGGCCTAATGCCATGCTGCTAGTCTCTGCTTCATATAAGCACAGAGTCTCCAAATCACCGTTCTCATAATTTCCTATAATTACATCACTGAATTTGGATTGATACAAATGAACTGCATTACACTTGTAAGTGGCTGTTTTTTCTCTGTGTAATAGAATATACATCTGTGCATAAAAATATTAATATGAAATGAAAGAAGAGAAGAGAAGAGAAGAGAAGGGAAAACCATTGATTTTCTCCCTGACATTTTTGTAAATATATATTATATATAAAATATACTAATATATAATAATGGATTCTATATTGGATATATGCAAATTAGCAAAACAGAAATGCAATACTGTCACCCAATTTAGTATGTGATAGAGCAATTTGGTGTAGGTCATGAGTGTATAATGAAAAGAAATGGTAGAAAG